TGGGGAAAAAGCTTGCTATCCACCCTGTCTATACCTCTCATGATTTTGTAGACCTCAATCAGGTCCTCCCTCAACCTCTGTCTTTCTAATGTAAATAATCCTAATCTACTCAACCTCTCTTCATAGCTAGCACCCTCCATACCAGGCAACATCCTGGTGAACCTCCTCTGCACCCTGTGCAAAGCATCCACATCCTTTTGGTAATGTGGCGACCAGAACTGTACGCAGTATTCCAAATGTGGTCGAACCAAAGTCCTATACAACTGTAACATGACCTGCCAACTCTTGTACTCAGTACCCTGTCCGATGAATGAAAGTATGCTGTATGCCTTCTTGACCACTCTATCGACCTGCGTTGCTACCTTCAGGGTACAATGGACCTGAACACCCAGATCTCTCTGTGCATCAATTTTCCCCAGGGCTTTTCCATTTACTGTATAGTTCGCTCTTGAATTGGATCTTCCAAAATGCATCACCTTGCATTTGCCTGGATTGAACGCCATCTGCCATTTCTCCGCCCAACTCTCCAATCTATCTATATTCTGCTGTGTTCTCCGACTGTCCCCTTCACTATCTGCTACTCCACCAATCTTAGTGTCATCTGCAAACTTGCTAATCAGACCATCTATACCTTCCTCCAGATCATTTATGTATATCACAAACAACAGTGGTCCCAACACGGATCCCTGTGGAACACCACTGGTCACAGTTATCCATTTTGAGAAACTCCCTTCCACTACAACTCTGTGTCTCCTGTTGCCCAGCCAGTTCTCTATCCAACTAGCTAGTACACCCTGGACCCCATGCGACTTCACTTTCTCCATCAGCCTACCATGGGGAACCTTATCAAATGCCTTACTGAAGTCCATGTATGTAACATCTACAGCCCTTCCCTCATCTATCAACTTTGTCACTTCCTCAAAGAATTCTATCAAGTTGGTAAGACATGACCTTGCCTGCACAAAACCATGCTGCCTATCACTAATAAGCCCACTTTCTTCCAAATGTAAGTAGATCCTATCCCTCAGTATCTTCTCCAGCAGCTTCCCCACCACTGACGTCAGGCTCACCGGTCTATAATTACCTAGATTATCCTTGCTACCTTTCTTAAACAAGGGGACAACACAACATTAACAATTCTCCAGTCCTCCGGGACCTCACCCGTGCTGAAGGATGCTGCAAAGATATCTGTTAAGGCCCCAGCTATTTCCTCTCTCGCTTCCCTCACTAACCTGGGATAGATCCCATCTGAACCTGGGGACTTGTCCACCCTAATGCCTTTTAGAATACCCAACACTTCCCCGCTCTCCTTATGCTGACTTGACCTAGAATAACCAAATATCTATCCCTAACCTCAACATCCACCATGTCCGTCTCCTCAGTGAATACCGACGCAAAGTACTCATTAAGAATCTCACTCATTTTCTCTGACTCCTCGCATAACTTCCCTCCTTTGTCCTTGAGTGGGCCAACCCTTTCTCTAGTTACCCTCTTGCTCCTTATGTACGAATAAAAGGCTTTGGGATTTTCCTTAACCTTGTTTGCTAAAGATATTTCATGACCCCTTTTAGCCCTCTTAATTCCTTGTTTCAGATTGGTCCTACTTTCCCGTTATTCTTCTAAAGCTTTGTCTGTTTTCATTCACCTAGACCTTATGTATGCTTCCTTTTTCCTCTTTGCTAGTCTCACAATTTCACCTGTCATCCACGGTTCCCTAATCTTGCCCTTTCTATCCCTCGTTTTCACAGGGACATGTCTGTCCTGCACTCTAATCAACCTCTCTTTAAAAGCCTCCCACATATCAAATGTGGATTTACCCTCAAACAGCTGCTCCCAATCCACATGCCCCAGCTCCTGCCGAATTTTACTATAGTTGGCCTTCCCCCAATTTAGCACTCCTTCTTTAGGACCACTCTCGTCTTTGTCCATGAATATTGTAAAACTTACGGAATTGTGATCACTATTCCTAAAGTACTCCCCGACTGAAACTTCAACCACCTGGCCGGGCTCATTCCCCAACACCAGGTCCAGTCTGGCCCCTTCCCGAGTTGGACTATTTACATACTGCTCTATAGAACCCTCCTGGATGCTCCTTACAAATTCTGCTCCATCTAAACCCCTAACACTAAGTGAATCCTAGTCAATGTTGGGAAAATTAAAATCTCCCATCACCACCACCCTGTTGCTCCTACATCTTTCCATAATCTGTCTACATATTTGTACCTGTATCTCATGCTTGCTGTTGGGAGGCCTGTAGTACAGCCCCAACATTGTTACCGCACCCTTCCTATTTCTGAGCTCTGCCCATATTGCCTCACTGCTCGAGTCCTCCATACTGCCCTCCTTCAGCACAGCTGTGATATCCTCTTTGACCAGTAATGCAACTCCTCCACCCCTTTTACCTCCCTCTTTATCCTGCCTGAAGCATCTATATCCTGGGATATTTAGTTGCCAATCTTGCCCTACCCTCAACCAAGTTTCAGTAATAGCAAGAACATCATACTCCCAGGTACTAATCCAAGCCCTAAGTTCATCTGCCTTACCTACTACACTTCTCGTATTAAAACAAATGCACCTCAGACCACCTGTCCCTTTGCGTTCATCATCTGCTCTCTGCCTTCTCTTTCCCCTTAGTCACTCTGACTTCATTATCTAGTTCCTTACAGGCTTTAGTTACTACCTCCTTACTGTCCACTAACCACCTCATTTGGTTCCCATCCCCCTGCCACATTCCCCCTTGATAATCAAGAACTTATCTATCTCAGTCTTAAATGTACTCAATGGCCTGGCCTCCACAGCCTGCTGTGGCAGTGAATTACATAGATTCACCACTCTCTGGCTGAAGAAGTTTCTCCTTATCTCAGTTTTAAAAGGTCTTCCCTTTACTCTAAGGCTGTGCCCTCGGGTCTTCATCTCTCCTACCAATGGGAGCATCTTTCCAACATCCACTCTGTCCAGGCCATTTGGTATTCTGTAAGTTTCAATTAGATCCATTCTCACCCTTCTAAACTCCAATGAGTATAGTCCCAGAATCCTCAAACGTTCCTCATATGTTAAACTCTCCATTCCTGGGACCATTCTTGTGAACCTCCTCTGAACCCAACCCAGGGCCAGTGCATCCTTCCTGAGATATGGGGCCCAAATAGAACAGATATACAGACAAGACAAAGATCTGCAAAAATACGAGTATAAGACATGGACAAAAAGGAGAAAATTCTGTGGATCAATTGTTGAGAATGAAGTGCCTTTATAAGTTCTTTTGGTTTTGGCACTTCATAATCAACCATGGTGGACGTTAGTTCTATAGCCCGTCAGTAGGACATGGTTTTGAGTGCTTAGAAGTTCTTTTTTGAGGTTTTGTGTTGTTTGTCTTCAAGAGGGTGAGAGATGGAGAATCCTGTCTGGGCTAGCACACTTTTCCTGGAGCTCTGAGCGCAACTGCTGTCTTTCAGTTCTGTGACAAACTGCAGCTTGACCCCGAAAGCTGTTGCTGGGCAGTTAACAACATCTGGATTGATAAATCGACCAGATATTAACTCATCAAGAGATAAAGGGAAGGAGACAAAAAACAAGTAACTGTAAGCCAGTTAGCTTAATGTCTATTGTTGGGAGAATGTCAATGTCTGTTACAAAGGATGTATATTTAGGAATGCACAATATGATCCAGCATAGCCACCATGGTGTCATAAGAGGAAATCATGCCAGACAAATTTACCGGGATTGTTTGAGGAGGTAACAAGTAGGATAGATAAAGAGGAAGTAGTGGATGTAATATATTTGGATCTTCAGAAGGTGTGCTGAGGTACCACACATTTGGCCACTTAACAAGGTAAGATCTGACTATGTTGAAAGAAGTAAATTCGCATGGATAGAGGATTGGCTAACTAATAAAGACAGAGTTGGAATAAGGGGATCATTTTTAGATTGGCAACCTATAACTACTGGTGTGCCATAGGGATCAGTGCTGAAGCCATAAATATTTACGAAGATACTAATGACTTGGATGAGGAAAACAAATCTACTATGGTTAGGTTTGTGGATAACACAAAAATAGGTGGATAGGCAAGTGGTGAGGATAAGACAAAGAGTCTGTAGAGGGATATAGATAGGTTAAGTGAGTGGGCAAAATGTTGGCAGATGGAACTTAATGTGTGGTATTGTGAAGTTTTGCACTTAGCAGGAAGAACAGAGGAGCTGAATATTATTTAAATGGAGAAAGACAGCAGAAAGTTGTAGAACCGAGGGATTTGAGAGTCCTTGTCTGTGAATCTCAAAAAAGCTGGCATTCAAGTTCAATGAGTAATAGGAAATAGTTGGCCTTTGTTTCAAGGTGAATAAAGTACAAAATTATTGTGCAGTTTTGCTAAAACTGTACAAGGTGTGAGTCAGACCACAGCTGAAATACTGTGAACATCTATGGGCCCCTTATCTAAGGAAAAACGTATTGGCTTTGGTGGCAGTCTGAAGAAAGTTCACTAGGCTGATATCAAGGATGGAGGAGAAGTTGAATAGTTTGGGCCCGTACTCATTGGAATATAGAAGAAAGAGAAATGACTTATTGAAACATACAAGATTCTTAGAGGGCTTGACAAGGTAGACTGTTGAGGACCAGAGAGCATAATTTCAATATAGGAGGTTGTCCAATTTAAGATAGTGGTGAGGAGGAGTTTCTTCTCTAAGAGGGTTGGGAATCTGTGAAATTCTATGTCATATAGGGCTATTGAGGCTGGGTCATTAAGTATATTCAAGGCGGAGATAGATTTTCTTAATCAGCAAGGGTATCAAGGGTTTGGGGAAAAGACAGGAAAGTGGAGTTAAGGATTATCAGATCAGCTATGATTTCATTGAAGGTGGAATACACTTGGTGGGCTGAATGGCCTACCTCTGCTTCTATGTCTTTTGGTCTTATGGTGTAATGTAGGTATATTTACTTTTACCTCATGTTTAAAAAAGTATTTCAACACAAATTGATATCACAAATTTTTTTAATGTTATGACAGTGACCCCCAGTCAGAGACAACTTTAGATGTGGAGCCAACACAGCATGCATTGGAAGATAAATCACACTTTAAAATTAAAAGGTATGAAACTTGCATGTAAAGACTAAAAATGTTCACATTTTTCTTTGTTTAACTTTGGAAACAGAAGTAGGTTAAAGTGCATTGTCTTACATGTCATGTAGATAACTGAACAATAAATCAAGGGCAGGTATGTCACGAATTGATCCTAATGGTTCCAATAATAAAATTTAGAAAATAGCATATCACAGGTTTACTGGAATAATAATTATTAACCAAGTATTTATTTATCAATGCGTGGCTGAGGAGCTGGGTGCAGGGGAGAAGGATTCACATTTTTAGATCATTGGAATCTCTCCTGGGGTAGAAGTGACGTATATAAGAAGGACGGATTGCACCTGAATTGGAAGGGGACTAATATACTTGGGGGGAGAATTGCTAAGGTGCTCGGGAGGATTTAAACTAGTAATGGTGGGGGTTGAGACCCCATGAGATAGTGAGGAAAGAGATCAATCTGAGACTGGTAGAGTTAGGGAAAGGAGCAAATCAAACAGTCAGGGCTGGCAGGAACAAAGCAGGGAAAGGGCTAGGACTGATAAATTAAACTGCATTTATTTCGACACAAGAGGCCTTATAGGTAAGGCAGGTGAACTCAGGGCATGGTTGGGAACATGGGACTGAGATACCATAGTAATCACCGAGATGTGGGTCAGACATGGACAGGACTGGCAGCTTAAGGTGCCAGGGTATAGATGCTATAGAAAGGATAAAAAGGCGGGGGGAGTGGCATTTTTGATGAGGGATAACATTACAGCTGTACGTCGGGAGCATATTCCTGGTAATATGTCCAGGGAAGTTCTTTGGGTGGAACTGATAAATAAGAAAGGGATGATCATCTTCCTGGGATTGTACTATAGACCCCCCCCCCCCATAGTCAGTGGGAAATTGAGAAACAAATTTGTACGTAGATCTCGGTTATCTGTAAGAATAATCAGGTGGTAATGGTAGGGGATTTTAACTTTCCAAACGTAGACTGGAACTGCCACAGTGTTAAGGGCTTGGATGGAGCGGAATTTAGAATAGAAGAATCCCTACAGTGAAACAGGCCCTTTGGCCCAACAAGTCCACACCGACCCTTGGAGCATCCCACCCAGACCCATCCCCCTATAACCCACACACCCCTGAACACTATGGGCAATTTAGCATGGCCAATCCACCTAGCCTACACATCTTTGGACTGTGGGAGGAAACCAGAGCACCCGGAGGAAACCCACGCAGACACGGGGAGAATGTGCAAACTCCACACAGACAGTGTGTACAAGAAAATTTTTTGAATCAGTATGTGAATGTACCTATTAGAGAAGGTGCAAACTTGGCCTACTGTTGGGAAAGAAGGCAGGGCAGGTGACTGAGGTGTCAGTGGAGGAGTACTTGGGGGTCAGCGACCATAATTCTATTCATTATAAAACAGTGATGGAAAAGGATAGTCCTGATTTAAAAGTTAAAGTTCTGAATCGGAGGAAAGCCAATTTTGATGGTATTAGGCAAGAACTTGCAAAGTTGTTTGGATGTTCGCAGGTAAAAGGATGGAAAATGGGGAGCCTTCAAAAATAAGATAATCAGAGTCCAGGGACAGTATGCTCCTGTTAGGGTGAAGAGCGAGGCTGGGTAGGTGTAGGGAATGCTGGAGGACAAGAGAAAAGAAACATATATCAGGTATGGACAGCAGAGATTGAGTGAATCCTTAGACTACAAAGGCAGTCGGAGTATACTTAAGAGGAAAATCGGGAGGATAAAGAGGGGACATGAGATAGCCTTGGCAAATAGGGTTAAGGAGAATCCAAAGGAATTTTATAAATACATTCAGGACAAAGGGTAACTAGGGAGAGAATAGGACCCTTTAAAGATCAGCAGGGCTGCCTATGTGTGGAACAGCAGGAGATGGTAGAGATACTCAATGAGTATTTTGCATCGTTGCTTACTACAGAGAAGGATATGGAAGATATAGAACGTGGGAAATATTTAGCGACATCTTGAACAGTGTCCATATTACAGAGTAAGAGGTGCTGGATGTCTTAAAACGCATAAAGGTGGATAAATCCCTGGGACCTGATCAAGTATCCCCTAGAAGTCTGGGAAGCTAGGGAAGTGATTGCTGGGCCCCTTGCTGAGATATTTGTATCATTGATCACTGCAGGTGAGGTGCCAGAGACTGCAGGTTGGCTAATGTGGTGCCACTATTTAAGAAAGGTAGTAAGGAAAAGCCAGGGAACTATAGACCAGTGAGCCTGACATTTGTGGTGGGCAAGTTGTTGGAGGGAATCCTGAGGAACAGGATTCACATGTATTTAGAAAGGCAAGGACAGATTAGGGATAGTCAATATGGCTTTGTGCGGGGGAAATCATGCCTCACTAAATTGACTGAATTTTTTGAAGAAGTAACGAAGATGATCAAGGGCAGAGCGGTGGACGTGATCTATGTGGATTCAGTAAGGTGTTTGACAAAGTTCCTCTTGGTAGACTGGTTAGCAAGGTTAGATCACTTGGAGTACAGGGAGAACTAGCTATTTGGATATAGAACTGGCTTGAAGGAAGAAGACAGAGTGGGGTGGTGGAGGGTTGCTTTTCAGACTGGAGACTTGTCACCAGTGGTGTGCCGCAAGGATTGGTACTGAGTCCACTGCTTTTCCTCATTTATATAAATGATTTGGATGTATGGGTGTACATAGGAGGTATGGTTAGTAAGTTTGCAGATGACATCAAAATTGGAGGTGTAGTGGACAGCGAAGAAGGTTACCTTAGTACACTGGGATCTTGATCAGGTGAGCCAATGGGCCGAGGACTGGTAGGTGGAGTTTCATTTAGATAAATATGAGGTGCTGCATTTTGGAAAGGCAAATCAGGACAGGATGTATACATTAATGGTAAGGTCCTCTGGGGAATTGCTGAACAAAGAGACCTTGGAGTGCAGATTCATAGTTCTTTGCCTTAGAGGTGCCCCAAATGAATCGACTCAGTTTACTCCATTTGACTTGATATTCAGACACAAAGTAGGAGAGCCTTTAAAATTAAGGAAAAGTTGAAAGGTCCGAAGTCAAATCTGACTTGGATTATGTATCTGAGGTGAGAGATAGATTAAACAGAATTGGTGAATTAGCTAGACAACATCTGAAGGTGGCACAGCATCTTATGAAGCAAGAAGCAGATAAGAAATCTAAATTTCGGATGTTTGCTTGTGGGGATAAAGTATTGGTGCTGATACCAGTGGTAGGAGACCCCTTCAAAGCAAGGTATTGTGGTCCTATCAGATTTAGAAGTAGTTGAGTCAGGTGAATTATCTGGTAAAGATGCCGGATAGAAAGAAGTTTTATTGGGTATGTCATATGAATATGTTGAAACCCTACTACGACAGGGACAGGGAACCTCAGCGATAAATCAGAATCCGAATCACTTGATTTTAATGTGCCTCAAAGTAAGTTGGATAATGAGGAAGTTCTTGGAGAGTGGAATAGGATTGCTGTTTTGCCTGCCATCTGTAAGGCTTTTTTGAAACAGTTGTTTCACTTTTTGAGGCTCTCTATATTGGCAACTTCAGCTGCTAATTTCTAGGTACAGACAAAGCACAAATTTCTTAAAGGAACCACATGTTTTAGCTTCCTGTCTTCCACATCACAATTACTCTGTGCAACTTTGTAACATTTCCCACCCCTTAAGAAAAAAATGAACCATCATTATGAAAAGATGGCTTCATTTGTTTTTCTAAATCTTAACAGTATTACCATGAAATACATAGCTCAGTACTCTAAAGTTATACCTTTCATATTAATTCTAAATATACATAACATTGAACTGTTCTGATTCTATCTTGTCTACACATTTTCTTTAAACCCGCGATAATGCATCTGCAACAACATTTTGCCGTCCCACAACATATACAATTTGTAAGTTAAAAGCCTGTAACATAAGACCCCAATGAAATAGTCTCATATTTTTGTCCCTAAATTTTTCCAAAAAAGTGAGGTGCTTGTGGTCTGTATACACAACTGTCTCTGACATTATGCTCGTAACATAAGCCTTAAAATGTTGTAAGGATAGTACCAAACTCAATAATTCTTTTTCAACAGTAGAACATTTTCTCTGATGAATATTGAGTTTCTTTGAAAAATATTCAATTGGCCTTTGAATTCCACCATCATCCTCCTGCATCAATGCAGCTCCAACCCCTATATTGCTGGTGTTGATAGCGACTTTAAAGGATTTTGAGAAATTTTGGAGCTAAAACTGGTATGGTGGTTAATAAGGCTTTTAAATTCTCAAATGCCCCCTGGCATTGTTCTGTCCACTGACATTTTGTGTTGTTCTTTAGCAAATCTGTCAGCGGTGTCTCTGTGCTACTAAAGTTTGGCATAAATTTCTGGTAGATTCTGCTCAGTGCCAAAAATTGAAGCAGCTGTTTCTTCGAGGATGGTCTCGGAATTTCCTCGATAGCCTTCGTCTTTATGTTTCTCGAGGTCATCATTCCATGTCCGATGTTATATCCCAAGGATGTCACTTCTACCTTTGTGAATTCAGTTTTTGCTAAGTTTATAACCAGCTTTGCCTCCCATAGTCTTTTAAAGAGGTCTGCCAAATGTACCATGTGATCTTTCCATGAATGGCTAAAGATCACTAAGTCCTCTATGTAGACAGCGCAATTATTCAATCCTGCCACAACTCTGTTTATAAGTCTTTGAAATGTGGCTGGTGCGTTCTTCATACCAAAGGGCATTACTTTAAATTGATGCAACCCATTTGGGGTTACAAATGCAGAAACTTCTTTAGCTGTCTCTGACAAAGATACTTGCCAGTAACCACGGAGTCACCTGCCAGAGTTAGCACCATTCAGCTCTGAGAAAGCCCATCTAATTAAGCAAAGGTACCATGGTATTTTAGCTCAAAGTTCTCATTGAAGAAATTACGGAGAGAAAATATCCCTGTTGGCAGAATTAACGGAAGAAAGGTGTTTATGAGGAGACCAGAGACGACAGAATATTCCAGAAGGCAGTCTCTCCAAGTTCGCACAG